GTGAGCTAAAGCAGCACCTCCTAATTTGCATTTGTGAAGCAAACACCCACGCAAGTCTGAACATGCAGATGAATCTGCATGTTCAGACTAGCGAAGGTTGTAAAAGGGAACTATAAAAAAGCGCATAAAAAAATCAGGACAGAAAACTCCAGGTAATAAACTTTGAAATTGGTACATGTCCAATCAAAAGAAATTAGTTAAAAACAAAAAGGCAGGAATAGAAGTCAGTGCTTGTGACCAAATTCTGAGATATAAATTTAGGCAAGTAGAATTCATATTCAGTAAGACCAAACCTAAACAAAGGTCAGCAAACCAGTGACACAAACCGAGAACAGTTAGCTAGAGTGGCTGTACTAAATAACAATTCAAACCAACACCCATTTGCGTTTCCTATAACTGCTGTTGTTGTTTTTTCCCCTTTAACTCACTGTACATATATAATAATTCTTTAACCTCTTTCCATGCCAGCCTAACTGAAGAGGACAGCTTGATTTGCATGACTTACAAATACCTTCTTTGACTAATGCCTTTAAGGCACAAACATCTATTTTTAATTTAGACTTGAAAAGAAGCTCTAATAGGTAGTTTCAGTCATTTCACAAGTCAAAAGCGGATGCTGTCTATCTGAGCTACGTACTGAGGGCCCGAATAGTAGGTAATGTATTTTTTCTCATCAATAGATTGTATTTCTTATCATTATATTCAATGGGAATTTTTATTGTGAAAAGATTTGAGTCAACAATAATTATTTTTTTATACGAACTGGTTTTAAAAGAAACCATCACTCAACCTTTTGTTTATTTTCGGTTGCTGGATGGATTACTGTGATCTAAATTAATCTAGAAGAGGCAAAAGGTCTCTTTAGAAGAGATGAATAAATATATTTTAACCTTCAGTATTTTAGAATTCAACACCTATTGTACAAGATCATTTATAAGCTTTCTAAATGTATATTTCCACGAGATATGAATGTAAGAAAATGGCTGATATTTGCATGTTTTATATTCTGTGCTGTATATTACGTGCACTTCCATTGAAAGTGTTATTTGCTTTTGCAGATTCAAAAGATTTCAGAATGGAGGTTGGACAAATCCTAAAATTCTTTTTTATTTTAACAGGTAATGTATCATGTTTATTCCCCCGTTGAGACACACAAGAGATCGTAAAGTTGTGAGAGTACAAACCATGTTTGTAATGCCCAAAGTTAACATTCCTGTTGTCCAACCTGACTGTTTGGACCAGTCAGTGTTGTTTGCAAATTCATCTTGTAGACAATCAATATTTCTGAAAAAATATGATGAAATAGATGTAACCTTTTGCACTTAACAATTAACTCAAAGTATCAAATGCGCCTTCCTGACTTTTTGGGAATTATATGAGAGCCATATTAGTCCTTTAAATAATGTGAAGTGGTGTATGGAAAAGATGAGAAATGGGTTTGTAAATTACAATGCCCACTACTGTCCATGCAGGCTGTGTAAACGGCTGTGTTTGAACTGGCTTTTAGGCTTTGTGTTGAACATTTGTCTCTGTACCAGCATAGCTGGAGAATGATAAAAAGATATTTGTCTTTCTGTCAATGAATATCTAATATGGTTTATTCTTCTGAAATCAACTTTTATCACTTTTATTTATATTTACAGTCAGTGTGACCTTTGCTTCCACCGCTACCAACATCTCAGCCTCTGTGACTACCAACGCAACAGCAGCTACACCTGTAACTACAACTGCTGCACCTGTGAATACAACTACTGCACCCACAACTACAACTACTGCATCCACAAATACAACTACTGCACCCACAACTACAACTGCTGCACCCACAACTACAACTGCTGCA